ATGTAAAGTTCTTCTAAAATCAGTATAGAATGGAGATTCATTCCAGAACTTTGAATGCAATTAATTTAGCATCCTTATGTTGAAAGTAAACTTAAATTCTAATTGATATGTAGTGTTAATAATGAACTATTACAGACTATTCTTCAACTAGCTTTTCTTTTTTCATTTACATAACACCTGTGTGCCCAGCTCTGGTCTAACAGGAAGATATTGCCCTCATGGAACTTGTAGTTTACCAGGAAGACTGGAAATAAAAAGTAAATCACAAAGTTATAGCAATGGCATGTAGTCACTGTGACATGCTTATACAGGGATTATGGAAGTGCAGTGCTTTTTTAGATAATTACTGAGTATTTGTCTCAGGGTGACATATATACAAAGATAGGAACAATAAAAGCCAGATATGAGAAGACAAGGGATCATTTACATAAACGGAATATGTGCAAGGGCAATGGGAACCCACTACACTTGGCATATTTAAGGAGGCAAGTTTGACAATTATTGTAGAGTAAATACTATCAGTTACTTTTCTGTAACTATGATAAAATACTGTGACGAAAGTCAACTTTTGGAAGGAAGAGTTTATTTGGGCTTACAGTTCCAGAGGGACAGTCCATCAGGGTGGGGAGGCATAGCCACAGGCAACTGGGACAAAAGCTGAGAGATCATGTCTTCAACCGTGTGAGGTCAGCAGAATAAGTGAAATGGAAGTAGAGTGAGGGCATACACTTGCAAATCCCTTCCTGAGTGGCATACTTCCTCCAGTAGGGCTCTACCCTTAAGGGCTCCATAACCTCCCCAAACAGCACCACCGATCAGGAATGAATTGTTCAAATACATGAGCCTATGGGGAGCATTTTTTGTTCAACCACAGAGGAGAATGGTAGGCTGAGAGGTAAAGGGTTGGGAAGCTCGTAAAGAATGTGGTGACCAGGATTCATTTTATATTCAATACCATGAGGAATCATTAGAGGGCTTTAACCTTTGGAAGGAAGTGATTTTGTTTTACTTAAGGAAAAAAAAAAACCAACAACACTTTGCCTGGTTTGTACAAACAAGTGGAAGGTAGAAGTGGGGCTGGGAGGTGCTTGCAGTAGATAAGTTGACAGATTATAGAAGCTTTGTGTGTAAAACACAGTTTCTTCTAGAAACAGCGGGAGCCCAGCTCATCTGTCTTTTAGTAAGTTGTCAGTACAGTTTGGGGCTGGGCTGTAATTTTCCAAGGCCACGCTTGGCTCTTTATGACTAACTGTGTAACTGTGTGTGATAGTCCTAGCTTTGGACTTCTGAGCATACCTCCCATCTGTCCTGTCACGTTGCTATCACCATATTTACTAACTGTTGCTCATGAATGAAATTTGAACTTTCAAAATCTCTTTAAAAATTATTAGTTTATTTTAAAAACTATCTTAAAAAATAACAGGTTTCCATATGGCATTTTCATACATGTTTCACTTTGAAAAACCTATTTTTCAATGAGTGTGTCCAAAAGTCACCAATGCTTTTCTGTCCAATAAACTCTCATTTGTATCCGGGCTTATGGGTGATATTACTAAAATCGTTTTTTTTTTCCCTTTATTTTTGTTTTTCTCATTTGCTTATTTATTTACTTGTGTGTGGAAGTGTGCGTGGTGGTCAGAGGGTAATTTGTGAGAGTTGGTCCTCTCCTTCCACAATGTGGGTTCTGGGGATCGAACTCAAGTTGGCAGCAATTGCTCTTATCCATTGAACCATTTTGTCTGCCCTGATTTCCCGTTCTAAACCAAGGTTTAATTCCTACCCTTCCTAGAACTCACTGTATAGACCAAGATGACCTACATCTTAAAGCAATTCTGTCTCTGTCTCCCAGTTACTAAGATTACAGGTTTACAATACTTTGCCTAGCCCAGCTGTAAATATTTATTTATGTTGATCTTTTTGAAACAGAATCTCATGTGGCCCAGGTCAGCCTCAAATTTGCCATGTAGCCAAGGAAGCCTTGCAAGTCTGAGATTACAACACCACCAACCCTGTTTATTGGTCTGTTTCTGTCTGTCTGGTGTTCTACTTTCCCTATTAGATTCTAAGCTACTAGATGCAGAGACAACGGTGTCTTGCATATTCACCTCATCCTTTGTACTTTGAATTAGACTACTTTTTTGCTGCAGTAGTAATTTATACTTGTTATATATATTTGAGTTGTCTAATTTTTAGATTTTATCTGAAATAATCCATTAATAGATTATATACATCGTTTTCTTATCCCTAGAGTTGGATATGGCTTTGTTGTTTGATACTACTTTGGAGTTGTTTTTTGAGAAGAGATTACAAGTTTGAGTTTTAAGAAAACTCCAGTGACTGGTGGTTTGTAGACTCTTGTCTGATTAAGAAAGAGATGGTGTCATCCTTTCTATTCCCCCTTTTGTGATTCTGAGGCTTGAAGCTGGGGCCCAGTATATGCTAGGCCAGTGTGCTGTCCCGGAGCTACACCCCAAGTCTCCAATTCCTTTTTACTTCAGTTGCCCATGGCCTTCCCTTTCACAGTGCTTGTACATGGGGTTGTTGAGGTTGAGTAGCCCAGAGGAAGTACTTTCACCCTAGGACTGTCAGGCTGTGTGCTTGGTCAGCACTTACTGTGTTCTGAGCACCTTGCTGTGTGGTAGAAGCCACAAGTATGGCTTTCTGCTCTTTCCTTTTATATCCACAGGATGATATTTTTCCCTCCATAGATAACAGATTGCTTTCTGGCTTCCCTTCTCATCAATTCTTTCCACTCATCATTCCTCCATACTCTGCATGTATTTTAAAAAAATTCCATTGGTGGTATTACACTTCATTCCCTTACTGCTCTTTCTGTTCTCATTCATTGTATTCTACAGTATACTACCATCAGAAAACACTGCAAAGTTATAAAATATCCAAACTGCAGAGCCTTCACATCCTCCTACCCACGGACAACTGCTGTGTGCAAGCAGTATCTTTTGACCTGGTTTGGTTTGTTCCCTGTGACTTCCCAATGAAGTTTTTCCTGATTGTTTTCCACCAAGATATATTTTACAACTGACAACATGTCTGCTGTTTTCCACTCAGTTTGTTTTTAGCATGTATGGGTTTATGGAATCACCAGCACAGTTCAGAGAGTGCCCACCACTCCAGAAAGTTCCCTTGAGCCTCCTGCAAAACTTGCTTCCCTCCCAGGCCTTGGCAATCTATTTTCAGTCTCCGTAGCCTTGCCTTTCTAGAGTGTAATTACACATAATGTGTGAGTTTAGCTTTTGCTTAGCATACTGTATTTGGTTCATATATGTAGCTCCTACAGTTGTGCATGTGTTCTTTTTTACTATTGAATAGTATTTCACTGCATGGAGTGTGTGTGTGTGTGTGTGTGTGTGTGTGTGTGTGTGGTCTTTGTACTTGTGGCTCAGACTGATCTTTTAAAAAATTAGAACAAGCTGTCACATACCTCAGTTATCCAACTTCAAGCTGTGAGAGCTTCATCTCTCATTTACTTACATTTACTTATTTTATGTATGTCTGTGTTGATACATGCCATGGTATACATGTGAAGGTCATAGGACAACTTGTAGGATCTGGTTCTTTTCTATGCATTCTTTGTGATCAAGGATCTTCTGATTTGCAGTTTGGGGGAATGACCTGAGGTTTGTTGTTTAGGATACTCATAATTCCTAGGAAAGATGTATTAGGTCTTCTCTAATGACTCCAAGTCTTCAGGATACATCCCTGGTAGTTTGGAATTATATAGCCTCTTGTCTTAGTTCCATTAGAAAACCCAGTTCTTTATGTATCCATGTTTGGTTATAGACAACACAGGATATAAAATTGGTAGCATTCCTTGTGTGTATGTACGTATGTATGTATGTACCTATTTTTTTTAAAACAGGGTTTCTCTGTATAGATTTGTAGACCAGGCTGTCCTCAGACTCCTGGAGATCTACCTCCCTCTGCCTCCTGAGTGTTGGGATTAAAGGCGTGCACCACCACTACCCAACTGTGTGTGTATCTATATAGGAGTGCATCTATGTGCACTGCAGATTGGACCAAGGGCCTCATGCATGCTACCCAAGTGCATTCCAATTGAGCCACATCACCAAACCCTGACATTCTTAATCTCAGTCTGAGATGAAGCTGTCACAGCTTGAAGTTGGATAACTGAGGTATGTGACAGCTTGGTAGTGACTAATATGGAACAGCTTGGTCTGCCACAGTCTAGAGAGAGAAAACATAACCAACATGAACAATAATACCCAATATACATGATCCAAAGTATGCACATAATGTCAGAAAGTCTCCAGGAAACATTTTCATTGGCATTGGTTTTCATTGATAATGAGGCCTTGGAAGCCCAGCAGTGGCCAAGCACATATTTCCTGATGCTGGCTTTGCTTCATTGGTTCTGGCTATATCTAGAAACAATTTAAACTATTTAAACTTGAATTTAATTCTTACATTATAAAAGACATTCTAAAAACTGAGGAAAGGCACATTGTATATCAACTACTCTCAACTGTTCATTCAGTTTTTGTGGAATGGAGACTGGGGCTTCATACATACTAGGCAAATGGACCATTGAGTTGCAGGCATGAATGACCTCCTCCTTGTTCTTATTATTTTGAGGCAAAGTTGCCCAGGTTGGTCTTGAATTTTCTATGTAGCCTAGACTGGACTTAAACTTTTCATCCCTCTGCCTTGGCCTTTCAAGTAGCCAGGGTTATGGGCCTGTACCATCAGATCAACTGTGTTTTTCGTAAACATTTTAAAATATGAGTAAAGTGTAATTCGGCATTTCATTATATACTTTGGTTTCAAATATTATATTTTCCCCCAAATGTCTTCATTTTAAAAGAAAATAATTTTCAAGAAGACCCTTTGAGTATATTCAGATTTGAATGTTTCTTTCATTTTGTTACTCACCCTTTAATAGATGCAAGTTATGGCAGAAAATGAATAGTTTGTAAAAGGCAGACAAGCTAACATTTCTTTTTGTCCTTCTTTTCACTCAGGTGTTTCCTTCAGAATGGTAAGTGAAACCTGTGTCTTATTTTTATACCATTTTTTTACTACTGATTTTAACTGTAGAGGATTTTCTACCCATTTCTAACCTACTGCTTATATCCTGTCCTTGACACTGATGATATTTTGCTTAAAATTCCTGATTATGATTTCTATTAAAACTGTCTTTAAAGTTTTATTACAGCTTTCTTAGGTTTTAGTTAGAGTTTTCTATGAATTTCAAAAATATTCTGGCATGTAATTCTAATTAAGCATTTGGCTAGGTATACTGGAAATTATGGGTTCTCTCCCATGTTTTAGATGGAAACCGTCCTGGGCCAGGAGAACATCTCACACTGAAAAGTGAGTGGGGGTGTGTGTGCTAGTGTTGTACATTTTAGCAGTAAAACCCACCCCACTCCCTGCTTTTGGTTTTATGTTAAAAATCCACTCCTTCCCCCCAAATTCTGAGGCTTGTATTTTCTACTACTCTTTGAACTGGGCATCACTATTAGGGTCTCTGGTAGCTGATTCCAGGAGTCCCACAATGTCCCCATCACTCAAGCCCCTCTGCATTTCAGGATATCTGTCCTTAAGAGTTCATTGCCCCCATTTTCATTATTTTCTTGATCTTCAGACTAGCTCCTGCATTTATTCATAGCCAACTCTATCAGAACCATCTAACTGCGCACTAGCCCCTAGACCACTGTGTCTAGGCCAGTGTTCTTGCTGGTTTGATTTAATTGTTAAGATTGTGTCTATTTTGTTGGAACTTTCAAAATGATTCAGTGTCTGTTTCTGGTCATACATATTTTATGTTGATCACAAACTGATATTTTTAAATCATTGATTGAGAATCCTGGGTTCATCAGTCCTTGGAGCCCAGATTAACAATGTAATGCATCATTGGCTGTGAGGAAAACACAATTGAATTTTATGTACTAGAAACTACTGAAGCAGTTCTCATTGTTGGGCTATTTTTCTCTAATTGTACCAATCTTATAAATCACAGTGTGACTGTAGGTCAGCTACTGATAGACTGTTTTTTATATGTATGTGTGTTTTACCTGCATGTATGTCAGTGTACCACTTGCATTCTTAGTGCCCACAGAGGATCTCCTGTAACTAGAGTTACAGATGGTTATGATCAACCATGTGGGTGCTGCTGGGAATTGAATCCCAGTCCTCTGTAAGAACAGTCCAGTCCCATAGACTATATTTTAGAAAAAAAAATGCCAGGTTAGCAGTTTCTTAATGTTAGAGTTTTTTTTTTCTTTTTTTCTTTTTTTTAAATAAGTATAGACTTCTAATGATGGACTTGACCTCTCTTGCTTTTTTCCTGAAACCAGTACACAGAAGAAGAAGCTAAGAAAACAGGAGTGGTTGGCTGGGTGAAGAATACAAGCAAAGGCACTGTGACAGGTCAAGTGCAAGGCCCAGAAGCAAAGGTGGATTCCATGTGAGTAGTAAGACCAACATGTCTATAACATTTATGAAGCTGTTTTGATAGTTTGATAGTTTGATGGTTCATTGGATAATAGTGGTACCAATGGCTAGATTCAGTTCTTACGGATTATAAACAGCCTGGAGTGTTTGTAGGTAGGCCACAGTCAGAGTGGCATTTCTTTGTTGGGAATGAACTTCCTTCTTGGACAGGGTTTAAGAAGAGCTATTGCATTGCTTTCTAATCTGTCCTCTCAAGTCCATACCCAGGACCCAAGTATTTATCATTTCAAATGTTAGGACAGAGTACAATGTCTGTAGATGGTTCTTGAAGTTCTTAATGTAGTCTTTAAGGCAAACAGATTGCCATCTCCTTTCTATTGTGTAATAATGTATTTACCTAATTGTAGTTTAATTTTTAGGGTAATAGAATTGTTTAATGAATGCTATTGTTACCATAGTACAAGCCCTCACAGTCTAAAGGAGAGCAGATTCAACAGTGAGAGTGACAGTGTCCAGTCTACATAATACCATTTTCAAAGGTGTTGACTTTTCCACTTCACAGTTTCCACTGCTGTCTAGAATGCTTATTTTTTAAAAATAAAATAGCTAACTTTTATTGAGCATTTACAACCCATTGGCGATGAGCTAAACACTTTGGGTGAATGTATTGTCTTTCAACAGAGCCTATGAATTAGATACTAAATCATAGCTTGTTTTATTTATAAATTATCTTTTTAAAAACTGTTTTCACATGTCAAAAGTATTTTCCTGTTGTAATAAGCATGATAACAGAATGCAGAGATATGAAGGCAAAGCTAGTCACCACTCTTTCCTGGTTCCTTCTTCTGAATGGAACCTGTCCCAGTGGCCTTGAGAATACCTTCAACAGCTGCCTCGTTACTTAAAAACATTTAAGTGGACATTGAATATTATAATTATTTTATGTGTATGGGTGTTTTGTATGAATGTATGCCTGTGCATTCCTGTGTCCAAGGATGCCAAAGGAGGGAGTTGGCTCTCCTGGAACTAGAGTTATGCATGGTTGTAAACCTCCAAGTAGGTTCTGGGAATTGAATCTGATTCTTCTGGAAGCGTGGCCAGTGTTCTTAACCATTGAGCCATTTCTCTAGTCTCCTTAAAGTATATATTTGTAATTAATATGTCATTTATTTTTACCCACCGAAACTCTGGTGCATTTTCAATAACATGTTTTTGTTTGATAGGCATTTTTACAGTCAGTAAGTTTATAATGACTGAATTCTTAGTTTTCTAATTTATCTGTATATAGCTATGTATTTGTGTGTATGTGTAAAATTGTGCACCCTCTCTTAGTTAATATTCTATTGCTGTGAAAAGACACCATGCCCAAAATAACTCATAAATGGAAGCATTTAACTGGGGGCTCGCTTACCTCTTAAGGGGTTCAGTCCACTATCATCGTGATGGAGTATGGTAGCAGGCAGGCAGAGGTGGTACTGGAGACACAGCTGAGATCTACATCCCGATTTATAGGCAGTGGGTAAAAGAGCCACTCACCTGGCATGGGCTTTTGAAACACCCAGTGACACTCTTCCTCCAACAAGGCTACTTCATCAAGGCTTCACCATTTACACCTTTTAATCCTTCTTTGTTCTACTGAGGACTAAACATGCAATACACGAGCCTATAGGGGCCTTTCTCATTTAAACAAAACCCCCCAGTCACCAACTTAAAAAGTGGTGTCTAAAAAAGTGGTCTTACTAAAATATGAGTTAACCATTAATTTACAGTAAGATTGTCATTGCAGAAAATATGTGAGACATGGTACAAAACTGGTAGTTACAAGGACGAGAAAATGCCAGATGACTGTGAAGTGGTTTAAGAGTGGAGGCTGTGAGAGGGGTAGAAGCCAATTATGTTGCATTCCTAGTCCTCAGTTAAGCATGGTTGTGATAAGTTACTGAACACAGGTGGAGTCACGCCACGGTCTCCTTTGTTTTTAAACCCTGAACTCTTCGTCCTCCTTGCAAGTACTGAGCTCCAGCAAGCTGGTTTGTAACCTTCCGTGTTGTGTCCTGATCACGTTCTCTCTTTCTTTCTTTGTCTTTGATCCTTATGACCACATACATAGACAGAAGGACAAGGACAGACTTACGCTGGCACATATACATTAGTGATTCTTGAACAAGTTTTGGCTTGTAAAAATAAAGCCTTAGTTTCCTATATCATATTTTGTCACTTAAGATGCTTCTGAGAAAGCTCTTCTGAGCCCAAATGATGTATATTCCTTTTCATGTCTGCTTTAATAAGAATAATGTGTTCCATTATTTATTACCCCATGTCTCTGAATGTTTGTTTTGTTACTTGCTCTTTGCAGTAGGAGGATGCTGCCATAAGCTTTTGATTGGTCTTTTTATCTTGTTTTTATAGGGTGGATTCCAAGGAGTGTGATTTCCTGATGTATATTTAATGTAAAATATTCATCAGACTCTATATTTGTTTCATTTATTTTGTGATAAAATAGTGACAAAAGCAGCTTGTAGGAGCCAGGGCTTACTTTGACTTAAAGTTCCAGAGGATATACAGACTACATGCAGGGGAAAGCATGACAGCAGGAGCCCGAGGACATATCACATCAGTGGTCAGAAATAGAATGGGAAGTGGGCCAAGCTGTACGATCTTAGTGCCTACCCTTGGTGATGTACGTTCTCCATCAAGGACCCACCTCCTAAATGACCCACAACCTTCCTAAACACAGCCACCTGCGGAGGACTCATTGTTCCAGCACATGAGCTTATGGGGGACATTCCTCATGCAAAGCACAGGGAACTGCTTTCAAAATTAGATGTAGAAATATGCATCCACCCTCCTCATTCTGCTAGCAATTGCTATTATTGTTTTATTTTTTTCTTTTATCTAATTAGCTATGGAGTGGTTATTTTAGTTATTAATGGCAAAAGGTACCTTGGCAAGTTGGAGCCAAGAGGCACCACAAAGTCACACCATGCATGAGAGTGGAAGGAAGAGAGAAGAGGGCTGGAGAGAAGGCGCTTGCTCTTTATAAGGGGGATGTGCATGGGGAAGAGTGTGCCGCTCCTGGAGAAGTAGCCACAGTGTCACATCTTAGCTGCTGCTGCTGACTTGTCTTGCTGTCACTTGGTCCTCGAAGGCAGGCAGCTAGCTGTAAATGCCTGAATGCTAACAGTTATTATTTACATTAGTTACCTTTCTCTGAATAGTAATTAGTTCAAGCCGTTTCATGCCTGTGGCCACACAGGTTTATTTTTATAAACTCCATTCCCATCTTTTCCCCATTTTCCCATTGTGATGCATGACTCTTACTAATATTGAGGGGCGTTTTGTATAGTGACAAAGGTTACATTTGCCTATCAGCTTTGTCTGTAATGGTTTTTGCAACATAAATTGTTTTAACTTTTATAAACTCAAATGTGCTTTTTTCTTTTTTTTTTCTGACTAAGTAGCCTTTTATGCTATGTTCTGGGTTTTTTTCTCCCTAACTTTTGATGCTTTATTTATTATATGTAAGTGTTTACTCCATCTGGAATTATTTTTTATTTGTAATTCTAGAGAAGGAACTATTTTCTACCAGATAGGTAGCCAGTTGTGCCAGCATCACTTATTAACCAATCTGTGCTTTATGCCATTCAATTGAGATATGTTTTTTGTCATATATTAGAATGCAATGCTAACTAGTTTTTAGCTTTGGATTCAAACTCACTGAGATCCACTTGTCTCTGGCTCCAAAAGCTGGGATTAAAGGCATGCACCAGTAGTATATGCTTTTTATGTAAGCATTAATTTTAGAAGAGTTTTAGAAAAATTATGAAGATAATATAGTTTCCATATGTTCCTTACCTAGTTTTCTACTAACCCTTTTCATTGATAAGATATAGATGTTATAGTTAATTGTTTAATATTGACATATTTTAGGGGCTGAGGAGATAGCTCAGTCATTAAAGTGCTTGTCAGACAAGCACAGGGACCCCAGTTCAACCCTCAGAACCCACATAAAAAATCATAGTGGCATGTGCTTCTAATCCCAATACTGGGTAGTAGAAATAGGTGGATCCCTGGGGCTTGCAGCTAGCCTAGCCTACTTTGGGATGTTTATTCTTTGTTCAGAGTAAATATACTTTATCACATTGAGCTCTGATTGTTTCTGATCTTAGAGCTACAGCGTTGATGTCAGGAACTGTATTAGTCAGGGTTTTCTGAAGTAACGGAATTGATATAATGAATATATATTAAAAGGGAATTATTCGATTTGTTTACATGATTTGGTCTGTAAATCCAGACCAAATCATCTGTCTCACCAGATAGGCTGACAACCTGATAGCTGCTCCCATTTTGGCTCTGAAAGCCTGGAAGCTTCCTGGAGAGCTGCTCATATTCAGTCCATGTTGGAAGGCCAAACATAGGTCCCAAGTTCAGGGAGAAATGCAGCAGAAGCAGCAACAGCAACAAGACAAATGTGCTTACCAGCAAGAGTAAAAGCAAGTAGGCAAAAGCAAAGCTTTCTTGTTCTGTCTTTTGTCTGGACTGCCACTAGAGGGAGCAGCCCACATTTAGAATGGGTCTTCCCACTTGCCATCTTTCACAGCCAGGCAGTCAGAGGTGGCACACGCCTTTAATCCCAGCACTCAGGAGATGGAGGCAGGCGGATCTCTATGAGTTTGAGGCCAGCCTGATTTACAGAGCTACTGTCAGGACTACACAGAGAAAGCATCTCAAAAAAAAAAAAAAGAAAGAAAAGAAAAAGAAAAAGAAAAATCCTCATAGGAATACCTAACAGCTTGCCTTTTAGTTGATCCCAAATTAACTCATTTCTATTTTGCTTTCTGCCTTGTGACTTTATTAACTCATCTCTGTATTGCCATCCTGTTTGCTCTGCCTCCCCTGGCATCTCTGCCTTCTTCCTAGAATCCTCTCTGTCTGGAAATCCTGCCTAGCTATTGGCCATTCAGCTTTTTATTAAACCAATCAAAGTGACACATCTTCACAGTGTACAAAAAG